ATGGTTCATGGGGTCACGAAGAGTCGGACACGACTTAACGACTAAACAACAACAATCCCTTTATCTAGAGTGTCACTTCATAACATGGTGGCTTCCTGATCTGTTGGGACTTCAAACTCCCAGAATTCCTAGCCAGCTTTCTTCTCTGACTTTTATTGGGAAAACAGATCCTATGCAAAGCATCTCTTTGACCAGGCAGGTAGGAACCTGGGCTGGAGCATTATGAAGGACTTATCATGACTTCGAACTACAATAAAAGCTGGGCACCAATTACCCTCAGATGTTTGGGGACTATGATTCCCATAATTCCCAGCCATGTAGTTGAAGTTCCAACACATCTGAGGGCATGATATCAGGAAAAGCAGGCAGAATTGTCAGATATTGTCAAGTATCAAACAGCACTCAGTAATAGTATTAAATACGCTCCTCTTTTCTACATGATATTTTACAATATTAAATATTTTCATGCAGCTTTAAATAAAGGAATAGTGTAGTACTGGACCTCAGATGCAGGAATAAATATTTGCTGTATAGTAAAAGAAAGCTGGTGAATATTTAAAATCAAACTCCAGAGAGTGATCTGAGAGGGTAAATCACTTTTGGTTACAGGCTGCCTTAAAATACAGCTAAATAGTGTTGAGAGTTAAAGGACCAGGTGGTCAAGCAGAAGGTGGAAGCTGGTTTAAAAACTTGCCTGCCATCTTGGGAATCAAGATTGAACCAAGAATTTTGCAAGGTGATCAAAGGCAGATGAAATTTCATGCAAACTTTTGAAAAATCTAAGTGCGAAATTGCAACAGGATGTCTCTTCCCCCCTTCCCGCCCTAAATTCATCTGAATTCAAGACTCTTGAATTCCTGCTGAGCTTTAGACACAAATAGGGGTATTTGTTCTCTCTTAAGCTTCATGTGAACAGTGTAATGACATTTCTCCCGTTCCTCTTCCTGATCTCTGCCTCTTGTATTTCTAACGTGCCAATCAACTTAATATCTTAAGCCAGTGTCCAATAGGATTAAATGGGTTCTGTGGATAAGCGTGAGGCCAAAATGCAATTCTCTTTGTGATGAGTTGGAAATGGGAGGAGATAAGGACGATAACCATTCTGAGGGGGTAAAGGGCTGCTATCATGTCTTGGAACCTGTCATCTCAACTTGTCCGTCTCCTCTTGTGGTCATCACTTCTATCTGCTTGGTATGGTCTGGCTGATGTGTGAATTTGGATGTCTGCCGTGGTATGCAAGGTGAACATTCCTACATTCTTCCATTAAATTTTGATTGCAAGGTTGGGCATGCTGTTAGATGTACCCCCATTCCAACACACAGTGGTTGCGTTCCTCCCAAACTCAGGACAAAGCCCCAGAATGTTGGCTGCTTTGTCCCACCTTCATTTATGGAATAGATGCACTGTTTATGTACCTGAAAGAAGGAATTCATAGCTGGGTGGGAGGACATCTGTTCTCATAAAGGCCATCTAAACCTTGCAGTCTTGAAGTAGTTCTTGATGATACTAGTTGAGTTTTCAAGAGGGTTTGGGTGGGGGAGTGGCTTTGTTATGTCCCAGATGATTTATGGAATCCCTTCCAGTATTCAACTGAGGGGCAAACCCCACCCATTAGTACCCCCTTGTTGTATTGACACTCACTGCCTGCGCATAAGCACCATATGCTCCAAACTGTATGGCCATTGGGTTGAACATGCCCATCTGACCCGCCATTTGCTGCATACGGCGCATGGTGCGCTCCTTGTCCGTGTCTGCAAACTTGACCACCAGGCTGGACGATGCTCCCTGCAGGAAGGGAAAAGAGAAAAGGAAGTGAGTCCAAGTGGGAAGCAAAAAGAAGCCATCACAGATATGCCACCTCTGAAAAGGTCTATTGCTGATAAAAAGGATATGTCAGATTTATAGTTCACCTTTTCTCCTGGAGCTAAAGGCGGCTTACATTGGAATCTTGCTTCATCCACAACAACTCTGTGGGGTGGTTGGGTTGAGAAAAAGTAACTTGCCCAACATCCCCCATGGAACTTTGTTGGCGGAGAGTGGAGTGGAACCTGGGTCTCCTTGCTCCTAAACCAGCCCCTTCACCACTACACCACATGGGTTCTTGGGTTCAGAGAGATGGCTTGGCCCAAAGTCCTCCAGGGAGCTTGGGGGGCTGAGGGAGACTAGAACCTGTCTGTCCCCACTCCTAGACCAGCTCCTTCACCACTACATTACATTGTCTTCTGGGGACCTATGGCAAACGTAGGGTTTATGATCTGGAAATCAAAGTAAAAATCCATGCTTATCCAGGGCTCTTCCTTCCCCATATGAAGAATCTAGAGTTGTAAGAGACTCAAGACTCCTTCTCTTTTGGGATGATAAATATGAAAACAATTACAAGGTCAGATCCTGAAGGGTCTTCATTTAGTTTCCTCACATCCTAGGTTAGTAAGTGCAACATTATGACGGAGACGCAGGACATGAGAAAAGAAAGAATCGAGATGGGAGCCATTTTTCTCCAGCTGGTTCAGCTCCACAATCCTTTTCTCATCCACCACTGCATTAAAGCAAGTTAGACGGCTGTTAATCTTATTTTCATTAAATCCTGAAGCTGGAAGAAATCTCCCGAGGACAACAAGTCCTACTCCCAGTGAAAAGCAGAAATTCCGCTGAAGCCTCATTTTGTCTGAGGATTATTCACTCTTATCCAGTGATAGGCATCGTCAGCTATGGCTGGAAGTGATCTTCCCTCCTCAGTATGTTCTAGAGCTCCTCTGCGGTTGCCGATAAGGATTTTGTGGGAATCTGGCAGACTTGCCTTCTGGATATTTGGTTTTATTCAATTCAGTGCTCACAAAAGAGGAATTTCCAGCAACTCTTACTCATCGCATCCCGCTGGGGCCCATTTGTGTAACCTACTCAATTTTTCGCTCCATTCTCAAACCTTGACTCCCATCTCTTCTCTTGCCTGAAAGCTCTAACCTTCATTAGAGATTTAGTGACTCGGTTCAACATCCTAAACCCTAAATCCAAGTTAACAAAACATCATGCCCAAACAAATTAACTACATTGTGGCTTAAAGTTTTGGCCTTGTTTATGCAGTCTCCTAAAATAATGGGTTCCCATAACAGTCTGATGCACAAACTATCCTAATTTTGTAGTTTAGTCTAGCATGTTATGAAAACTCAACCAGTGGTAGGGCAGAGGGTCAGAAGAAGGCTACAAGAGGGGGCCAAGAACAAGAATAGCATTGATGGGCATCCTTCTACCAGCCAGGTATTAAATTTTGCCTCTGGCTGTCTTCACACAACACAGTTAATCCAGTCAGTTAAAGGCCTTTAGGTTTAACTAAGGGGTTTTTTTGGGGAGGGGGGGAAGGATAGTTTAGGGTGTTGTGTGAATCCAGCTCATTTGAATACTTTATGGTTCAAGATATAGTGAGAACCCAGGAAATGGGTTAATTCAGGATCCTAGATGTGTTATGTGACTGCAGCTTGTCTGCTCCATTCTTTCACCCCACCTTACTTTTCCCCAGGCGGATGGAAACCAGAGAATTAAAACTGGAAAAGTGCATTGAGCAAAACATTTAAATCTGCCACTGGAAACAGAAGTCAGTATCTTCATTGTTCATGCGCACCTGTTGAGCTCCATCTGTTCCAAAACCAAGGATAACTGGGGTGCCCCACAGAGTTTCAATGCGGATTCATACCAAGGGGCCATGAAAAGCAGAAGCCTCTACAGACAAAAATATTTTGCTAGCCCATATAGAGTTCTTTTCCCATCTTGATGAAAAGTACCCTAAAACTCTTCTGTTACTGCCTGAGCTCATTTGAGCTTGCCTGGCAAAGGAGACCTGGCGCAGCTAATGCAACTCTCTGGGCCTATGGAACTGAGTGTGGAGGAGAGTCCCATTTGAGACCATGCACTACAATGTACCACCTGTTGGAATGACCATAGGACCATCCTGGCCCCAAATTCCTTGCTACAGTAAGCAAAAAAATGGAAATCTGAGTCTGACCCCCCTAAACTCGCATCTTTGAAGCCTCTTCAAAGTCTCACACTGAAATCTTCTTCTCTTCTGCAGACCTAAATCATCAGAGCGTCTTCCTTCTTCTCCAGATTTCTATTTTACCCAACTGAGCATATTTTTAAAAAGAGACCTATCCCTCCTCGTCATGCAATCTAAGCCAAGTGAGACAGGAGTTGCCTCGAGCTCTTAATGTGCTCAAAGCACATGAAGAAGCAAAGCCACCAAAATCCTCTTGCAGTGACCTCCGCTAGTGAGCTGTTCCGTTGTACCCTTTGTTTTCAAAAATGGGTTTGAATTATCAGTTGTTCAACGAAGGCATACAACTGCCTTTTGTGTTGCCAATGAAACCAACCGTCACTCTCTAAGGCACACTTTGAGATGGGACCTCTTAGTAGCAGCCAATCTCCTGTATTATATGCAGAGAACATCCTTGTCCAAATCCCAGTCCTCAAGCTTGAGAAGGTGAGGGATTAACATGCCAAGAAAGCAAATTTCCAAGAAGCTTCACAATGAGACCCACGTCTCCTGGATTAAAAACATTTTCTGGGAGGAAATGGTGTTCATTGGTGACAAGCCTCTTCCTACTTCTCTGTTTGACCTGTCACTTTTTCCCTCTCTAATAAATCTGTAAACCTCTTGAACAATGCAGCAAGGAACAAGGGAGAAACAAAAGGAAGAAGACAGCGCATTCCAATCTTCAGGGACACCAAGTGCTAGGCATGAGTTATTACGACAGCAAAGCAAAGGCAGGAAAAAATTTGCTTTCTGGTCTCTCTTTATCAAGGATTTTGATTCACGCAGAGAAGTAGTCTCACCACCATCTCAATCTCCCTTTCTCTGCAGCACATGACCCAATTATTGATCCTTCCCCAAACAGGGCTCTTAATTACACTTCATTGACAAATGAATATTTCGAATGCATACATTTCCTAGCAATTATTGCCAGACCAGTCCTTAATTACGGTAGATCTCGAGATCCACTTAATTAATCCCGGGCTGAGAGCTCATTTGATAACTGGGATCTGAAACTCTGAACTTTTGCAGAAATGCTGAAAGCTGAAGCCATCTGCTGCGACTCAGAAAGATGGAAAGTAAGGGGAGATTTTTTTTAAAAAAACCTAACTGTAATTCCTTACGATGGTGGAAGGCAGTATACAAAATAACCCAGCTTGTGGTGTGCACAACTTAGTGGCAAGGAATAAAAGGCCACCAGGATACCTGAAATAAGCCATTTGCAATGGGGTAGGATGATGGGGTGAGAGAGGTGAGTAAAGTGTTTCCTTGGTGGTAAAAGATATTGTGCTTCACTATTTCTTTCCTGATACACATCTGGAGACAGGCTATCAAGGAAGCCTACAGTGATTAGCAGCACTAGATAATAATGTGTGAGCATGTCATCCCTGGAGGTCTTCCTCAAGAGGTGTGCAGTTCTGGTCACTGCTCCTCAGAAAGGAGATGATGGAGCTAGAGAAGGTTCAGAGGAGAGTAATAAGTTGATCCAGGGCCTGGAACAACATCTTTATGAGGAAAGGTTGCAACATTGGGGGCTTTTTAGTTTAGAAAGGAGGAGAATGAGAGGGAACATGATGGAGGTGTACAAAATTATGCATAGTGTAGGTAAAGTGGACAAGGGAAAGCTATTTTCCCCTTCCCAAAATACTAGAATCAGAGGCCACCCAATGAATCCTGGAAGAATCAGGACAGATAAAAGGATTTTTTTTTCTTTACACCACATATAATTAAACTGGAATTTGCTACCATGGGCTACGATGCTGGCTACCAGCTTCTCTGGCTTCTAAAAAGGGTTGTACCAATTCATGGAGGTTATGGGCTGTTAGCCTTGATGGCAGTGGGGCTGCTGGAAGAGGAGACCAGTGGGCTGCCTTGTGCAGTTGGTTGGCCACTGTGAGAACAGACGGGCCAGGGGTCCGATCCAGGGCACGGCTTGTATTCTTACTACATGTTCAAGTGTTTTCCCACCCACCGTGTCCTCTGCAGGATTGAACCACAGCCCTTTGGGTTCTTCCCTTAATTCCTTCACCTCTGTGGACTCAACCAGGCTGCTCTAAGCAGATCCTTCTTTGGTGTTTCTCTCCTCATCTTGCCACCGTGGGTGCAATGTGCAACTTCGGTTTTCATTTGCTTAGTGTCGGTTATGTGTTTTTGGAGGGTGTCTTCAAGTCAGACTTGACTCCTGGTGCCTACAGGGACAATTCTGTGCAGCTTTCCTGGCAACTTTTTTCAGAAGTGGTTTGTCATTGCTTTCTTCCTGGGGGACTGGCCCAAACTCTCCCAGTGGCTTCCATGCCTAAGGCAGGACTAGAACTCAACTTTTCCCATTTCTAGTCCAATGCCTGAACCACTAGACCAAGCTGTATCTCAAATGCATTTTGGTGCACTTCCACCATCTAGCCCTGTGCCTTTAACCAGTACACCAAACTGGCTCTCTCATTATGTTTAGTCTGTTTTAAGTTTATTCTTTTATCTAGAGTTGCTTTGATGACTGAGATGGGTAATAAATACATTGATTAAATAAATATACAAAATAAATCCAGTGTTGAGCTAGTCCAAACATTGGTGTGAGATCCAGTTTTCCTCCTGTTCACCTCTGAGTGAATGTCTCAGAATGACATTTGCCCCAATATCTTTGATGACACCTATACCCATCCTCCCAACACACACATTCACCCTGAACTTTTCCAGCTTGTGAAAAAGCAGCTTATAGGGAGGAAATCACTTCTGTTGAGTTGCGAATTGCTCAGACAAACGTCTGGAT